CCTCCCCTCCCATCACTTCCCTCTACCTAATCTAAGGAAACGCTCTTCTTCCCTAGTGCCCCGCACCATATTGTGAATTAGCATTTGCCTATTAGAGAAAACATTCGGCCTTTGGTTTTGTTGGATTGGCTTATTTCACTTAGAATATTCTCCACCTCCAACCATTTACTGGCAGATGCCATAATTTTGCTGGTGGGACTGCAAATTGGTGCAACTACTATGGAAAGCAGTATGGAGATTCCTCAGAAAACTGGGAATAGAACTACCATTTGACCCAGCTATCCTACTCATTGTTTTATACCCAAAAGACTTAAAATCAGCATACTATAGTGACGCACACACATCAATTTTTACAGCAGCTCAATTCACAATAGCTAGACTATGGAACAAACCTAGGTGTCCCTCAATAGATAAATGGATAATGAAAATGTGGGATATATAATCTTTTACCACTTCTATTTAGTTCTTGAAACTCTAGCCATAGGCAATGAGACAGATGAAAGAAATTAAAGAGATATGCATAGGAAAGAATTCAAACTATCACTATTTGCTGATGACATGATTCCATACCTAGAGGATCCAAAAAATTCCACCAGAAAACATCCAGAACCAATAAATGAATTCAATGAAGTAGCAGGATATAAAATCAACACCCATAAATCAAAGGCATTTCTATACATCAGTGACAAATCCTCTGAAAGAGAAACTAAGAGAACTACCCCATTTACAATAACTTCAAAAAATAAAATAAAAAACTTGGGAATCAACTGAACGGAAGAGGTGAAAGACCTCTACAATGAAAACTATAGAATACTCAAGAAAGAAATTAAAGACGACCTAAGAAGATGGAAAGATCCTCCTTGTTCTTGAATAGGCAGAATTAATATTGTCAAAATAACCATACTACCAAAAGCACTATACAGATTTAATGCAATTCCAATCAAAATCCCAATGACATTCCTCATAGAAATAGAAAAAGCAGTCATAAAACTCATCTGGAAAAATAAGAGACCTAGAATAGCCAAAGCAATCCTTAGCAAGAAGAATGAATCAGATTGCATCATGCCACACCTTAAACTATACTACAAAGCTGTAGTAACAAAAACAACATGTTATTGGCACCAAAATAGACTTGTAGACTAATGGTACAGAATAGAGGACACAGAGACAACCACCTAAATACAGTTACCTCATACTAGACAAAGGTGCCAAAAACACATATTGGAAAAAAGATAGCCTCTTCAACAAATGGTGCTGGGAAAACTGGAAATCCATATGCATCATAATGAATTAAGCCCCTATCTCTCACCACGCACATAACTCAAAGCTGATCAAGGACCTAGGAATTAGACCAGAGACCCTGTACCTAATGAAGAAAAAGTAGGCCCAAATCTTCATCATGTCAGATTAGGCCTAAACTATCTTAACAAGACTCCTTTAGTGCAAGAAATAAAATCAAGAATTAATAAATGGGAGGGATTCAAACTGAAAAGTTTCTTTACAGCAAAAGACACAGTGAGGTGAAGAGACAGCTTACAGAATGGGAGCAAATTTTTACCACATGCACATCAGATAGAGCACTAATTTCTAGGGTACATATAAAGAACTCAAAAAAACTTAACATCAATAATAATAATAATAATAATAATAATAATAATAATAATAACAACAACAACAACCCAATCAATAAATGGGCTAAGGAACTGAACAGACACTTCTCAGAAGATGATTAACGAATTTATGGAAAAATGTTCAATATCTCTAGCAATTGAAGAATGCAAATGAAAACTACTCTAAGATTTTATCTCACTCCAGTCAGAATGGCCGCTAGAGGATGTGGGGGGAAAGGAACAATCATACATTGGTGGTAGGACTGCAAATCAGTGCAACCAATCTGCAAAGCAATATGGAGATTCCTTGGCAAACTTGAGATAGAACCACCATTTGACCCAGCTATCCCACTCCTTGGTTTATAGCCAAAGACTTAAAAACAGCATACTTCAGTGATGCAATCACATCAATATATATAGCAGCACAATTCAAAATAGCTAAATCGTGGAATGAACCTAGATGCCCTTCGGTAGATGAATGGATAAAGAAACTGAGGTATGTATACACAGTGAAATATTACTCAGCATTAAAACAGAATAAAATCATGGTATTTGCAGGTATATGGATAGAGTTAGAGAACATTATGCTAAGTGAAGTAAGCCAATCCCAAAAAACCAAAGGCCAAATGTTTTCTCTGATATGTGGATGCCGATACATAAGTGGGGTGAGGGGGAGCATGGGAAGCATGGAGGAACTTTGGAGAGGGAAAAGGGGAAGGAGAAGGGAGGGGGCATGGGGGTAGGAAAGATGGTGGAATGAGATGGACATCATTACCCTAAGTACACGTATGAAGACACAAATAGTATGACTCTACTTTGTGTACAACCAGAGAAATGAAAAACTGTGCAATATATGTGCACTATGGATTGATATGCATCCTGCTGTAATGTATAACAAATTAGAATATATAAATTTTAAAAAATAAAATAAAAACAAAAAAGAAAAAATGTTCTCTAAACAAATGCAATTTTGAAAACATAATTGTGACCAATTGTTGAGAATTATTAAGCAGTACTGAATAAACCACTAATATAAATATATTTTTAAAAGTTGAAGTTAGTAAATATTCTAAAAACACTTCTTCAGGTTACATTTATTTTTTTTAGTTATAGATGGACAAATACCTTTATTTTGTTTGTTTATTTTTTTATGTGGTGCTGAGGATGAAACCCAGGGCCCCCGCATGTGCTGCGCCAGCGCTCTACTGCTGAGCCACAACCTCAGCTCTTCAGGTTACATTTAAAAAGATGTTTACATTTTTCCTTTATAAAGCATGAAATAAAGATCCATGATCATATCTATTTATTTATTGTTGTTTGTTTGTTTGTAGATGGACACAATAACTTTATTTTATTTGTTTATTTTTATGTGGTTCCGGGAATCAAACCCAGTGCCTCATGCATGCTAGGCAAGCACTCTACCACTGAGCCACAACCCGGGCCTCCATGATCATTTTTAAATAATTTAAATAATAATTTAAATAATTTAAATGATATGTCTTGAAAGGTTATGTAGCTGAAAATCTCTAATTATATATGTGAACTTCTTTTTTTGAAGAGCTCTCAGTACTAAAGCTGTGAAGAGAAACTGAGGAGGGAGCAATAAAGAGGACACAAGGGTGAAGCCATGAATGAGGACCTCAGGCTTACTGGCTGGACCCCGTTAATCCAGGGTCATGGTGGTGTAACACAGCCTGAACACTATGCTCCTCTGTAATTTTCTTAACTCTCATGTGAGTTTAAGGTGATAGTTTGCAAACATGGAAGCACAGGTGTAACTGCAGAGCTTGTTAAAAAACACAAATCTCATACTTAGGATATCCCATATCTGAATTTTCAACTAGCTTCTCAAGGCATTAGAAATCTTACTCTGTAGGGATGCTAATTCTAGGTGAATTTCATGCAAACTTGGCTTCAAGAAATTCCATTAATTTACCCTAAGGATTATAAATCAGAAAATAAAATTGTGTAAGTTGAGCTGTAGTTTGATGATTTGAAATGAAGCTTTATATCAATAAGAACTAATTGTGCTTGAAGCCAATTTTAAGGAGCCCTGGGTTGTACACCGCCCCCCCCCTCCACCTCCCACCCCCACCACACACAATTGCTTAAATTCACTGAATAACATTAGATCCTCTTTGGTGTAGGTATATTCCAGCTTACTAACTTGTGATTTATATTTGTTTTAATTGGATTTTGTTTTCATTTACTTTAAAAGATATGAGAAATGACCAAGTGAGAGCTACTTGGTTAATCTGCTTACTTTCCAAATTAGAATAGAGTTGCTTGAAACATAATGTAATAAGACATTTTTTTCCTTGAGAAAAACAATAATAAAATAACAAATAAATAAAGGAAAGATTTCCATTGTCCAGAGCTATCTCTTTCCCAACCTTCCATAGGGGGAATAAAACCCAGGGACCCTTTACCACTGAGATTCATTCCCAACTCTTTTTTTTTTTTTTTATAATTTTGAGACAGGGTCTAAGTTGCAGAGGCTGGCTGGCCTCAACTTGTGATCTTCCTACTTTGGCCTCACAAATCACTGGAATTATAGAAATGTGCTACTGTGCACAGTTTGAGCTGTAATCTTTAAAGAATGGGGAACAAAGAAGTCAGACATGGTTATGAACATGGCCAATGTGAACACAGAGAAGCAGAAGTGGAATAGGACAAGGGAGGCCAGGAACGACATGGGGGTATTTCTTGCCAGGGACAGACACACTAGATAACTTCTGTGACATGGTCTCCTGTGGTCTGTTTTGAGGGTACACTGGAGGATTCTGTCCTAATTGCAAGGCAGGTTCTCTAATTCTACAGAGATTTAAAATAGGAGAAATAGATAAAAATGGCTAAATGTTCGATAAAATAGTATTGATGAGAAGTAGCTGAAGAAAATGCAAATTGGCTATTACATTGAGTATAAATTTGGAAATTCTAATTGGGTCAGTTTGGGTTTCTGTGGTTCAAGTCAGTCAATCTCTTTGAGGCTGCATTATCTTCTCAGTAAATTGGGCAAAACAGCATCTGTAAAAGGAGATATTAAATATTAAATACGAAGGTCTTACAAATGGTGCTACAGTCTCTATTGTCATCATTGCTGTTATCGCTATTTTTTTTTTGATACCAGGGATTGAACTCAGGGGTACTCAACCACTGAGCCACATCTCCAGTCCTTTTTTGTATTTTATTTAGAGACAGGGTCTTAGCACCTCACTAAGTTGCTGAGGCTGGCTTTGAACTCATGATCCTCTTGCCTCAGCTTCCTGAGCTGCTGGGATTGCAGGCATGTGTCACCATGCCTGGTTTATCACTGCTATTTTAAATTACAGTTTCTTTTGGTTCAGCTGCACTTAGAGCACAGCTCAGTTATAAACCATCAGTACTCACCAATGAAGAGCTGGCTGTTGAGCTGCAAGAGGAGGTGCCCACCAGTGGGGGCAGGTTGAAACTTTTGAGGGAGCTGATCCACTTGGAGAGATGCTTCTTTAACATTTCTTTCTGCCTTCACGTGATGCCATCGGTTGTCATTAAAGGGAGTGGGTGACTGTACTGTGACTTCACAAGGACCATTCCCCACATCAAAGGAAAAGGTCACTTCTGTGGGAGCTGGAAATTGTGGATATTAAAGTTTCTCAAGTTAATTCAAAAGGGAGAAAATGTAATCCTGAGTGGACATGAAAACAGTATTGTGGTATGCTCATAATGAATAGGGCAGTGATGCAGGAAAGAATTACTTAGAGTTGGTTAGGAGGGAAAAATAAATTTGAATCCTGGAGAAAGAAAAACAAAACTGATTTTAATACATTCTTTCTCAGAGTTTGTTATGGTTGAGATATGAGATGTCCCCCAAAAGCTCATATGTGAATCAATACAAAAGGGTTTAGAGGTGCACTGATTGAGTTATGAGAGCCTTAACCTAATCAATGTGTTAATCCATTAATAGGAATTAACTTGTTGGCAACAGTAGGCAGATAAGGTGTGGCTGAAGGAGGAAGGTCCCTGAGGACATGCTTTTGGGGTTTATATTTTGTTCTTGGTAATTACAGCTCACTCTCTCTGCTTCCTGGTGCCAGGTCCTGAGCTGCTTTCCTCCTCCACACTCTTAGGCCATTATGTTCTGTCTCAACTCAGGCCTCAAGGAATGGAGTTGGCCATCTATAGACAGAGACCTCTGAAACCATGAGCCTCCAAATAAACTTTTCCTCCTCTAATTGTTCTTATCAGGTCTTTTGGTTACAGCAGTGAAAAAGCTGACTAAAACAGAGTTTAATTGCTCATCTTGCTAAGCTCTAACTAGCAGACATTTACCTATTGAAAGAAATCTAGCATGTGATCTGGCTTCATATAAATGATTTTGATTAAAGGTGATTTAAAACTTCATATAATTTAAAAAATCGTAAGTGAAATCTTTGACCATAAGAAATAAAGATTTGCACATGTGATTAAATAATGTGAGCAGTCAATTCAGTCAAATAATTTTTAATTTAGTAGAAATTAGTTATTTGACCAGTCTGGTTTAATCTCCTGACTGCACACAGAAGTAAAGTAGCACCAAACCATTATAATCTGTTGTATATCTCAGGAGATGTTGTTTCACTCTTTACCTGCTATAGTTTGGATGAGTAATTCCCAAAGGCTCAGGTGTTATTAAAGTCTTGGTCCTCAGGGTGGTGCTATTGGGAAGTGGAACCTTTGGAAGGCAGGACCTTCCAGGAAGGTCTTTAGGTAATTGAGAGGGCATGGCCTTGAAGAGGATTGTGGGGCCTTAGCCCTTTCCTCTTTCTCTTTTTTTCCTGGCTCAGGGGTAAGCACATGCTCCCATGATGACATACTGCCCTCACTAGAGGTCCAACACTATGCAGCCACTCTATTTTGGGCTGAAACCTCTAGAACCATGAGCCAAAATAAACCTTTCTAAGTTAACTGCCTTAGATATTTTGTTATAAGGATAGAATGCCGACTTCTTTAAGATAAAAGAATTTTTTTAAAATAATAGAATTTTGGTATTTATAAAAATATACTTGATAAGGAAGCATGGCAGCAGATTAGGAATGAGAATACTAAAGGGTTTATTGCTCATTACTGAGCATTCTGTGGCTTTGTCTCAGTGGCAACTCACCGTGCAGTTCTAGTCTGATAAAGTCTGTGATACCCAGGTTCTCTACAAACACCCCAGAAGAAGCTGTTGTCTTAAAAAAGAAAGACACATCAGCACTGAGCTCTCCATGGAATGTAGGGAAATGAAGATACGAAGTCTCAGTATTGAATGAAGCTGAATTCCAAAATGAATCTGTTTATTAAAAAAAAGAGTGAAAGTAATAGTGAAACAAAACAATAATTGCATTTTATGTGTCTAGCATTTATTTTTACTATTAAATGCATTACTCATCTAAGGGAGTCTTCATTTTGAGGTTCTTCTAGACATGAAGCCATGATATGAATATCCAAATGGTGATTACTTGGATCATTAAGATTCTGGACATGGATAACTGAGTAGAATCACTATGGAAATGGTCTGTGTTTTTAAACACAATTTTACTTTTAATTTAAGAAGTTAAAAATGACTATTGATTTTGATTTTAATCTGCATTGATTTGTGTAACTTTTACCAAAATTGAGAGATCTCCCTCTTGATATCCCCCTAAACTCACATCCTTTCTTCCTCATCCCTTTATAGTTTGCCTTTTCTAAAGGTCGTATAAAGAGTGATCCACTTTTTAACATTTCAAGATTGGCTCCTTTCACTCAGTATAATGGCTTTGAGATCCACTCACATTGTTGTACATATAAATATCTGCTTTTTCCTCCTACTGACTTCTCTAATGTAGATATGCTATAGTTTGACCAAACTGAAGAACATTGAACATCATTTCCAGATTTGGGAAGAGAGCTGCTATAATATTTGTGTACAGTTTTTCGGGTGAACATAAGTTTTCATTTCTCTAGGTTAGTAAATACCCAGCATGGAATTTCTGGATCATATGGTAGGTATGTATTTAACTCTAAAGCAAACTGCCAAACAGTTTTCTAGAGTGGCTGTACATTTGTCATTTCCATCAACAATGTATGAGTATTTTTACATCCTCACACAGCACTTGGCATTAGAAGTTTTTGTTTGTTTTTTGGCAATTCACATTGGTGTGTTGTGGTATCAATTTGCCTTTCCTAATGGCTGATGTTGTAGAACGTCTTCTCATGTACATCTGTGCTATCCTTACATCGTTTTTGATGAAGTGTGTCCTCAGTTTGGGGAGAATCAACATCTTTCCTATATTGAGTTTTCCAATCATGGACACAGTGTATGTGTCTCCTCTTATTTATATTTTCTTGATTTTTGCCTTCAGTCTTTTATAGATTTCAAGTAAACATGTTTTGTTGCATGTCAGTAGGGTATGTGTGTGTGTGTGTGTGTGTGTGTGTTTAAATTCCTTGAGATTTTCTGTGAAAACAGTCATATAATACACACACACACACGCACACACACACACATATATATATGTATGTATTTATGAGTAGAATTTTATTTATTTCAATCTGTGTATGTTTATTTATTTTATTACATAATTGCAGGCTTTGTCTTGTTCTCAATCTCAGGAGAAAAGAATTCAGTTTTTTTACTATTGATTACAATGCTAGCTTTGTTTTGTGTAGATATTCTTTCTTGAGCTAAAAAAGTTCTATTGCTATTTTGCTAAGCATTTTATTATAAATTATTATGCTGCATTAGTTATCATGATAATTCAAATTATCATTTAATCAATTCATTCAGAATAAAACCTTGACATGTGATTTTTATTATCTAAACTATTAGTCATAACATTCAGAAACACTAGGACTTTCTCCCAGAGCAATTCCTTGTATAGGCCCCATGGAGAACCTTGGGTCCCATAGGCTCCACAGGATTTCTCTGTCTTAGAGGTTAGCATGGCTACTGGGTCCTTGGTGGACCTCTGATTCAGGCAACATTGGAGAGTTCTGGGCAGAGGACTTACATGACAAGACTTCATTCACACTGGTGGCTGTGCTGAGAATAAGCCTGAGTGAGCAAAGACAGAGGCAGGCAGAACATTTCAAGAATGGAACAATAATCCAGGCCAGGTAGCAAAGGAAGTGGTGAGGTGTGGTCAGATTCTCAATCCATTCTTGAAGTTAGCAACAACAGGATTTGCTGATGCATCAGATGTGAGTAGTGATGAGAGTGTGAGAGGAAGTGAGAAGTTAAAAGTGACCAATGGTCTCAGTTTAAGGGGTGATGAGAAGAATGGAATTGCCACACACTGAATTGGGGAAAGTTGTAGAAATTATTTTCTTTCCCACCCCCTGATTTGTCAGGGTGAATCTGAAGCATCTATTAAGGCACAAGCAGAGGTTCATCATCCAGCCAGGTGGGCAAGCCTGAAGCTCAGTTATTGGGCTTGAGGTATAAAGTGGGGTTACTGAGTATTTAAAGCGAAGAGACTGATGGGAAGCGATCATTCTCATGCAGAGAAGGACAAGGTCAATGAGGGGAACAATGAACATCCCAACATGAGCCTATTGGTGAAATAAATACTGGAGGGAGGAGGGAAGGAGTAAAATGCAGACTTTGTGGCATGTTGGTGGCCTGGTAAGGAAAGTGAATTAAAAAGTGAATCATGATGGAGTCCAAAGTGGCTGGCCAGTCCATTAAGAGGAAAACTGAAAAATAATAATTGGGTTTAACAATATCAAGGTCACACTGGTGATCTGGAAGAGAGCAGTGTGTGGGGAGGGAAGGAGGACAAACCTTGATGGAGTTTATTTAGAAGAGACCATAAGGATGGAAATGAAGTTAGAACACATGTTTTTTGTTTTTCAGAAAGTTAAGATCATCAAAGTTCCTGGGTAACATTCAGAATTAATTAATACCTAATGGGATTAATTAATACTGTAGAATTCTGCCTATAATGGGCTCTGCCCTTTCATTTTCTCATTATCTTCTGGATTTTAGGCATATCAGCACTCATCAAAGTACTTGTACTTAGAACTTAGTAGGCATGTATAGGCTGAGCATACATAACCAAATAATCCAGGCTGAGCATACATAATCACATAATCCAAAGTATGAAATGAATGAAAATCAGAAACTTTGAGTATTGACAGTACAAGTAGAAAATTTCTCCCTGACCTCATGTGGTAAGTTGCAGTCGAAATGCAGGTGAACTAAAAGTATTGTGTTAAATCAGTGCCATGTGCATAAGGTCATAAAAAGCATGAATGAATTTAGTGTTTAGACTTGGGTTTCATTTACAAGATTTCTCATTATGCACATGCAAATATCCTCAAATCCCCCCCCCCAAAAAAAATCAAAAACAAAAACAAAACCTGAAATCTAAAATTATTTTAGATTTTAGGTCCCAAGAATTTTAGATAAGGGATCTAAAAGGAATAAAAGTTTGCTGCCTTAAAATTAGTAGGTGGGATAAGGTATAGAAAGTGCTGTCAAGCACAGTGGCACATGTCTGTAATTGCAGAAGAATTGCAAATTTGAGGCCAGACTCAGCAATTCAGCGAGAATCTCAGCAACTTGAGACCCTGTCTCAAAATAAAAAGTAAAAAGGGCTGGGGACATGGCTCAGTGGTAAAGCACCCGTGGGTTCAGCCCCCAGTACTGGGAAAAAAAGAAAAGATAAAGTTTGTTAACCAAGTGACAAATTATTTCAGATGATTCCCTTAGTCTTTACATCCGTAGTGTTATTTAAATACAGCATAAAAGAGTCAGAACCCAAAAGTAATATAATTTCTCTTTTTTCTCCATTATAATTATTTTTCTTTTTTATAAGTTAATATATTCCTATGAAATACAGATTACTAAAACAGATAGTCTTTTCATAAACCCATGCAGTTAATTTCTCATAAAACATTACCATGCATTATTAGATCCCTCTGACTGCTACTTACTGTCCCCTCGGCAGAGCAGAGGCCCCAGGGTATAAGCTGCTTCAGAGTGTGGCCGGCCTGCATCTGTCATCATAACCTGAGTGACTGGCAGGTGCTCCTTATGGGAAAGGACTCCTGTGTCACTGGTCCTAGGAAATAAACACAACCATCTCAACTTTATTCTGAATAACATAAGAAATTATAGTTTTTTATTGCAGTTCAAGAAGTATTAAGCAAATTTGTAAATACATATAGCAGGGAAATCAAAATGCTTATCTTAACACTTAGAAGCATAAGCATATATCTGAGGACAGGAGGTCACTGTTCATGCACCTGACCACTAAGAAGGAAGTGCACAGACTCATATGTGGTCATGGGTGCAGGTGTGAGGTTGCATTCTTAAAGCAACTAAGTGGCTCAGGATTCTGTCCAATTCAACCACTGTATAGAATTTAAATACAGAACTTCTGCAAAGAAGAGCAATCCGCCTTCACAAACACAAACAATACAAAAGATACCTGAATGACAAGATTTAGAATTTAAATCCTCATCATTTTATTACAATAGTCTCCATTTATCTGTAGTTTCACTTTCTGCAAATTCAGTTACTCACGGTCTGCCTTGTCGAAATATATTATTTGTTTTGACTCTTTCAAGGGAGAGAACCACATTTATTTAATTTTTATTACAGCATATTGTTATAATTATTATTATTAATATCTTACTGTGTCTAATTTATAAATTAAACTTTATCAAATATATATATATTTTATATACATGAAAAAACCACATGTATGTATGTAAATAGTATACATACATCTAGCTGTACCTATACTGTGTTCATTACTATCTGTGGTTTCAGGGATCTATTGGGGTCTTCAAGATATGGTGGGGACTCTATAGTAAAGCTCTAAAAAATTCCTATTGTGGTTATTAGGTATTTTCCTACTTGTTGACTCCATAAATTTAAAAACAAAAAATCATACTGACTCAAAACCAAGATGAAGGTAGGATATAACACTCCTAAAATTAACAGGAGGGATAGAAAGTGCTTTGTCAACCTTTATCACCATCCACTCATACAACAAACACTTATTCAACATTTTCTATCTACCAGGCTTTGTGTGTTGGGTATATGGACATAAAAAACATTATCAGTGCCCCTAGGTATTCTAGTGAATATCATAAATGTAATGGCAACTATATTATTATTATGTAATGTAATAAGTGAGGAAACATTAATATCTATGTTTCCAATACAGAAAGGACTAGAAAAGGAGCCAGAGACCCTGGATTGTAAGCTGGCAATCAACAGCTTCCCCTCTGGGTAAAATAAGATTTTTCTATACTTTTTAAGCTGTTCATACTTTTTATTGCAGACTTTTCAATTATATTTGCATTTATAATTTATGGACAAAAAAGATTTTTGTCTAGTTTATCTTTCTGATGTCTCATATCTATGTAGAACTAGTAAGTCTTAATTCCTAACAGTTACAAAACTGTCACTTACTCTAGGATACATAATTTTTTTTTTTTTGACATTTAACTTTTTATTTGGAGTAGTGTAGTGGTACTCATCACTTTTGAGTGAAATTTGAATAACACCAAATTATTATTTTAAGAAAAAAGAAATGTCCTTTCCATAATGATTGAAATGTTTCATTTCTTTTTTTTTATTTATTTTTTTATTGGTTGTTCAAAACTTTACAAAGCTCTTGACATATCATATTTCATACATAGGATACACAAATTGAAGCACAGAAAAATACCACTTTGGCATGTAAAAAAAAATCCAGGAATTTAACATGGTTCAACCTAATAGCTTTACAGGAATGAATCTGAATAATTTATTAATCATTCCAATTATATTTAGCTACCAAATATTCTTTTAAGATAGAAAAGTTAGAATTATTAAAACTTTTATTCTTTCTTAAAATTATTAATAAAGTAACTGGAAGTGCATATGGTGTTATGAAAAACAGAAGATGAATATCCTGAAATTAAAAAAAAACAAAAACGGTTTTATTGAATCAATTCATTTCAAAGTATCAGACTAAATAAGTAAGTCCCTGTGGTTCCTGCTAAACAGAAGCACACAAGCAGATTATAACAAGCACATCAATGTCTGGTTTGTCATAAATCAGGCTGTCAGAAAGCTAGAAGGTACCACCACATTATTGGGGGAGTCAGTCTGGGAACTTATTACAACTCTAGGGATAACCTGGTAAATTAAATCCTGTGATTGCCATTTGAGAGGAAAAATGTGTATATTAGTTATTCATTGAGGATCCTTGAATACCGAGGAACCATTCAAAACTATGCTTTCCAATGTAAGAAAAACTACAACTTAATTCTGTCTTCAACATTAACAATGTACATACAGAATTCTGAAAATCCATAAGCAAGTAATAATGCTTGTAGTATATATTAGAACAGATTTTATAACAGTTTTATTGTTTGTAAAGTACTTTGGTAACTGCGGGAGTTTTTAACAATTATATTTAAAATTGTTCTCATTAGTACAGGGCATTCTCAACTGCTCATGTCTTATGCATGATACTAATTGTCATGGTCACGAGACTCCTTAAAACATTCAGTAAGATAATTTCCAAACCCTTTTGTTTTTAATTTCTAATTCTCTATAAATAATTCTTACCATTCACTGATTCAAAGGACTTATTTTTGGTGGTAAAATAGAACTTTGAGTATTTTGTGCTACTGAGAAAGCTACAGGGGGAAAATGGTAGGTCAAGTTTCATAATTCACAATTATTCCAGTGAAAGAGGGGTGGGAACCACATAATTATCATCCAGAATTACAATAATCTGGCAGCGTGGCCTCTCCGTTGACTTTCACTATTCCATCTGCGCATCACTGAAATAAAGCTTCATGTTTGGTGTGTCAGGTCTTCCCACCTGGTTTCCATCTTCACCATAGTCCTAGCTTCTTGTTCCCCACTGTTTATATAAAGTTTAGAGTCATGTTGAAAAAAATCATGAACAAATATTTGGCATTGGTTTGAAATTAAACCAAAAAAGCACTTGAGGGAGAGGTACCCAGTTTTATCATGCATGGCAATAGAATCTTATTTCCATTTATTTAGGTCTTCTTAAATTCTCATGATCAAGTTTATGCTATCTTTTCCATAAAAAAACTTACATACTTTTTAAAAAATCTTTATTCCAAGTTGTCATTCCTTTTGTTGATTTTGCAAATAGTTTTTATAACATTTCTTATGGTATCATGTTCTTTATAGGAATCCAGTTATTCTAAGATTCAGCAGCTTTATTATACTCCCATTAGTTTTAATAATTTTCTTTGATTTTTGCAATCATATTGTTTATTGCTTGTAAAGAATCTTTTTTTTTTTTTTTTTTTTTGCGGTGCTGGGGATTGAACCCAGGGCCTTGTGCATGCAAGGCAAGCTTTCTACCAACTGAGCTATATCCCCAGCCCCCTGTAAATAATCTTTATTGAGTTGTTTCTAATCATTTGTTCTTTTGAATATGTATTTTTAATTTTTACTATTCACTTCTAGCCAAGTTGCATAGAGAAACTGTCCATATGGTACTAACTCTTGTAAAAATGTTTGATGTTTGTAATCAGTTTGCAAAACTATGCCATAAGTGTTAGATAAAATGATGCATCCTTTAATTTTATATGTATAACAAATCAAGTTATTAATTTGGTTTCAAAATAGTCTGTCTTCTAATTATTTTCCACCTGTTTTACCAATTACTAACAGATGTGCATTTCAACTTTTTCCTATTGGGTAATTTGTGAATTTCTTCTTGTAATTCTTAGAATTCTGAGTTATTTCTCTTACAAGTGTACTAGTTTAGAACACTTGGTTCTTTCTGGTAAGATTGAAAAGTATGAACATCCTTGTTCAAAATTAGGGTTTTTTAAAAAAATCTTTATTTTGTTGATTTATTTTTATGTGGTGCTAAGGATTGAACCCAGTGCCTCACATGTGCGAGGCAAGTACTCTGCCTCTGAGCCACAACCCCAGCCCCCAAAATTAGAGTTATTAAATTTGCTTACTTTTGTGTATATTTTCCTAGTAATTTTTTTTAATATTCAGTTTCATTATTTCTGCATGTACAGATAAGATATGCTTGCTTTTTATTCAATTTGACATATCTAGATTTAAATGGACACTTTCGTCACACTCCTTGTGCATGACTATGATCTCACTCTGAATTTATTGTGTTGCTTTTTCTTTTTAAATCTCATTTGCTATCTTCTTTTTGATTAACTGAATTGCAAAATTGGGTTTTTTTTCTCCTTTCCTCCTTCTTTTTAGCATACCTGCCAACATCCCACCACTGAGCTACAACCCCAACCTCCCCAGTTTTTCCTTTCTTTCCTCTGCTGATTTGAATTTATTTGTTCTATATTTATTCTTTTAGAGATTACACCTAAAACTAATGCACACTGGGAGTAATTTAATGCTAATACCCCAAGTTCAAATTTCAATGATATTTTTACTTCTCAACATTCTTTTGGCTATTTTGTCAATTATGATCATCTTTGTTAATAGATTAGATGACTGCTTTCTCATGTTTTAATTTCATGTAGCTAGATGTGAAATGTAGCTATACATAAAATAGTTACATGTTCCTGGTGTCTGGTATTTATTTTGGGGCCTCTGAGTTTACAAATTTCTTTTCTCAATATTTCTTTTTGCATCCGAGACTTTCCCTTTAAAAGGTCATTTTCTTTCTTTTTGAAAGCTGTTCTTCAGAACTTCCTCCTGTGGGGTGTGCTGGCGGTAAACTTCTCAGTATCTTATTGCCTGAGAGGATCTTCATTTTTATCACTCATTTTTGAAAATAGCAGCTGAGCAAAAATTTCGAGATGGATAGTAATTTTATTTCCAATTATGAAGAGCTTGTTGTGCTCTACAATTCTTTCCTTTCAGAAGTCTTTCTTCCATATCTGCTTCATTCAACATTTTCTTTTTCTTTTTTCTTTTGACATTTTCTTTAAAGTTCTTCTATTTCACCATAGTATGTCTAGATATGGATTTGCTTTTATTTATCCTGCTTGGTATTTCAGTATTTTCTCTAGTCTGGAAATTTCTTACCTATTTGGAATATTGCCTCTTCCTAATTATGTCCCATCTTCTTTAGAAACTTCAGCCAGACATGCATTCTCTCTTCTCTGCAACCCTTTCAGGGTTCCCAATTTGTTTCTCTCTGTGCTACAAGCCACGTAATTTGGTTACATATATTAATCATTTCACTAGTCTTCAAATCACTTGTGTCCAATATTTGATCCAACAAGTCTTAAAATTTTCGATAAAAACAATAATTTCATTTCCAAACATTTGTTTGGTTCTTTTGTAAATAGCAATTATCTCTATTAATAGTATTTGATTGTTTTCTCAACTCCATTGCTTATTTTTCAATCTGCTCATACATTTATTTTACATTTCTAATTATACCCATTATCTGGGACATTTACATTTCCAATTCTCCCCTTTGCGGTTTCTCTACCCTCCCACTTTCTTTTGTGTTTTGTAAAACTGGAGTGTGAGCTTATACTTCAAGGCATTTTATCTGTCAGAACCCTGTGATTCCTGAAGGAAGGAGGAGGGCAGACCTGTAGTAAGAATATCTTGTAATTCTATGACAAGCTATTGGAGCTACCAACCTGTGGCCATGGTAACTTAATTTTGAAACCATCTTATATATTGCAATTAAAATTATGTATTGAATTAAAAATCTGTGTGAGGGTGTCTAGACATGAGTTTTCTATCTCATGTGCTAACTGGAAGATTTGTCCTTATTCACCTTTTCATTGGGTTTGAAGCCTTTTGAGACCTCTAACTGTAGGGAAAATTTAGAATTCCATATGTTCTTTTCATGGAGCCAGGGCCTTTTCTGATTTCCCCCATGTGGCCATTTAAGGATTTAGGGGATCAAAAAACAACTCAAGATCAGCCATGGAAAATCAATTTAACTTTAAGAAGGCTGATATTGTACTTCCATTTAATGTGAAACAATTTGGTATTTCCATTTTGTTTTATTAGAAAAATAAAACGGACATAATTATTCACAGATAAATGAAAAAAATCATTTTCATGTTTTAGGCCTTAGATGAATGACATCATACACATCAAAACTTATTCTTTAACTTCTTGGGAAATTCTTTATTCTCCCTATTGTAGTATCTTGTCTAATATCTGCCTAAGGTACACAGTTTAAGCAATTAAAAAATTACAGTTTGCACAGGGAAAGCATGTGGAAATCACCATTCATCCTGGTCAGCATCACAGTTGCAGTGATATTGAGAATCAATGCAGTTCCCCTCTAATCCACAAGTACACTTTTGAGCATCAGGCAGAGAACCTCCACAGTAAGTGTGTGTTTCATTGGTTCTTCCAACCCACCAGCTCACTGGGGTTCCATCTGAAAGACAAGTATGAGAAAGGTGACACCTACTTTGCCCCCCACTACCTGCCTCCCCATATCATTCCTTTATTCCCCCCTATGTTAAAAATAGACTATTTTAGAAGTGATCACATTTTTAACTCTACAAGAGGATAATTTTTAAAGGACTCCTGAATGTTTTAAAAATTAATATTGAGAATTATTACTATTTATACATTATTATTTTATACATTGAACCTAAAATCTGTTTGAGATACTAAACTGCCATGAAAGAATTTGTTATACAAAATATGGTTTCTTTTACTATTTTAATTAAAGTAACACTGATATTTCCTATTGTGTGTTAAAAATTCCTTAGGGACATACTAAATGGCTTGGCTCTTAATTTGGAAACTGTGGAGATTCACCTTCATGCTTGAGGTGAATTTGGGGTTCAGAACAACTCTGAGACAATTATATCTGAGTCCTCCAGCACCACTTGCTCAGAGCCACCATAACTCAGCCACGGAGTCGGAGGCCACCTCAACTCTAAGGGGGCTCATCTTGATGCTGAGTCCAGGTGAGGGTGAGAGTGAGGTGACTAGAAAGTGGGTGGTATGCAAGTGGGGAGGGGCACTTCCCCCTCCATAGAGAAGCAGGACCAGAGGGAAAATGGAAGTAACAGTAAATCAGTTGCAAAGACGCTTGTCATTTTCAACATGCTCTTTCAAACCCATCAGCTGTCACCACTGGTTCACTACTGAGAATCTGAAATGGGACCTCTGTTCTCCCTAACTCACAAGCAGCATGATGGCTCCCTGTTAGAGGAGCCCTCTGCTTCTGCTGACAACATCTTAGCTTGCAAACATACTAACTGCATTCATCATCACTCAGCCCTGAACCAGTGGTTGAGGCATGTGCAAAGAATCAGTATCAACCAGCCTTCTTCCTTTTTAGAAACTGTTGCAAACTTATCTCTAGGGAGCAGAACTTTTAACAGATATTTGATAGATGTGTTCAAAATTCCACTTTAAAAAACAATTATTCAACATTCATTCTTTCACAGATTAACAGCAAAAAACCCATATATATATATATATATATATATATATATATATATATATATATATATATAAACAATTTTGTGTTTGTATTGGAGTTTATAATTTTATTCATAAATTAGGAACAAATGAATGTTTTTAAAAGTACAGAATGTCTTTGGCTCCATTCAAGATTTATTTGAGTGACCAAGAGAATTTGTATAGGGAATGATTTAAAAAGACATCAAAAGGAATCAGAGGCTGAAATGAAGAGGAATAAGTAAGGAATCAACGGACAAAGTATACTGTTCTACTTCCTCAAGTATTTTGGCCACAGGTACAATTGTCAGTTACCTTAGTATTCATTCACAATGTGGTAACTGAATACTTTCCCACAGCATCAACACTGTCACACTTCCTTTTTAGCCACCCATGATTGTATCCTTTGAAACTTTCTAATACAAAGACCTGGAAGATGCTAGAAGACAAAAAGTGTCTTTATAACACTGACATTCCCTATTTTGGCAGGGGAGGAGGAGGGATAGCGGGGATTAAACTCAGGGGCACCCAACCACTGAGCCACATCCCCAGCCCTATTTGGTATTGTATCTAGAGACAGGGTCTCGCTGAGTTGCTTAGTGCCTTGCTTTTGCTGAGGCTGGCTTTGAATTCCTGATCCTCCTTCCTTAGCCTCCTGAGCCATTTCCCACTGGCATGTGATACTGCACCAGGCTGACATTCCCTATTGTGTGTTAAAAATTGCTTAGAGATACATGTTTATTCTTTTTTTATTTCTTCTTTTCCCCCTATGACATGGCTTGGCTCTTTATTTGGAACTGAGAAGACTCACCTTCTTGGTGCCTAACCTTTCCTTCAAGGTAAGTTGCAAAATCAAACAACAAAAATACTACTAAACTATGGCCCATCTTGCTGTTCCCGAGTCTCTACTTGTGATTAATCGAGGTATTGGTTCCTAATACTTTCTGAGAATTTGTTTAATAAAAATTTCTGGAAATGAAATGGATCTGTATCTTGAATGCTATTTGCCCCTCTAACCTGATGCTATTTGCTCCCCCTATTGAAGTTTTTCTTGATCTTCTCACTCTGCAACATTCTAAGGAAGGCTTTAGTTGAAGGCTTTGGTTGGCATTACACCTTCTACACAAGGGCAACATCCATGTTCTGCATACCTATTTGCATTGATTGATGACACAAAGCCAATTAGTGTAATGATTTGAATGAACTGGGCTACACTAGCTGCCTATCTTATCTCTCTCTGGTTTAAAGCTTCTGAACATACATGGGTCTGTAACTGAATTTGTCTGAATTAAGTGTCTACTGAAAATTCTCCAGAGACAGCATGTAAGAAATTCACAAATTTTGAGTATCTATAATGTATTCCTTTTATTTTCTTTAGAAAGGGTTTAATAAGTTTAAAATTCTTTTCTCTGTCTTTCTTTTGTCCTAAGCCCAATAAAACACTTATTTGTGTCACTCTTGTTGTTTGAAATACTTATATGGAAAGGCAACAATCAAATAAATATGTGCATATCACTAGAAACACACCACCCCTTCAGGTAGAAATTCTTTACTATCTAGGCAATTCTCCACTTCTGGAATAGGCCATATGATGGGAATACATGAGTTTTATTCCCAGACTCACTGGGTGATTTTTTTTTCTGATTGTTATTGGTTAACTAACAGTCAAAAAAAAAAAAAAAAAAAAAAAACACTACTTCATTTGCCTCATTTTCTCTGGTTAAATGGCCCAACTTTGATTGTTTTATGTCACTGATTTAATCTCTAGGAGCCGACTTTCTCATCCTTTTGGTAATATACAATCTTAGTTCAGTGATCTATATGGTAGCAACGGACTAACAATAAGTACTAGGCCTCCTAGCTCTAACTATAAATGCAATACACTACAAGAGCTGTGAATAAATAGTATTTATTTAACATGCTTTATAGATGCTGCACTACTAAGTCTTAGAGAGATGAGTGTCTTAGCTCTATAGATTCAGAACTATTAAAGAATAGTTCAAACCCACAGATGCTGAGTGACAGACTTGAAACATGACCTCAGAGAATTCTGCCTACCACTCCCCAGCATGCCTGATCAGAGAAGGCAGACCAGCCTCCAGAAAACCAAAGAAGTATCATGATGGCAGCAGGGTTGGACATATTCACAAATTGAATGGCTTCAAAGGGAGAAGATATAAAACCCATAACAGAATTTTCCAGTGTGGATTAAAAATAAATAATCAGCTATCAGCAGAATTACCTTGAGTCCTAAAAGAACTGTAAGACACCAACTCTTTTCTCTAATTAGCAATTATCCAAGATACTAGTTGCATTCAGTCTGAGAGATAATCTCATGGAATAATCACCTTCAAATAACTAAGCCATGCTGTTAGCAATCTTTTCTGAGATAAAACACAGTGAGGAAATGCTGCCCCTCATAATGTATGAACAAGGGCCTCATCAGAACATCTTTACTGCTCAGTTGCCCAAGTGAGCCTGGGAAGAGACTTCAGACCACTCAAGCTTTCAGCAAAGAAGAGCAACTACTGCCTTGGCTCTTTGTCCCCAGGGAAAAGCATCTTTGTACTTTCCAGGCTGTGACCTTGGTGCTGTGGATACAGGAGTCTCATGAATCTACACCTGCTTGCTGCAAGCTCCTGGGAACTAAAGTCTGCAATGGCTGATGACTTACCAAGGTGAGCTGAAAGCCTTGACTTCCTGCAGTGGAAAGCTAGCTCCTGTTGGCAGTGGTCCGCCTGGTCAATTAGGGCCTGGAGTTGGTCCATGCTGGCCATGTACTTGAAAATCACAGGCTGTGGGCTTTCTCCATGAGAGCTTTTGACTCTGGCCAGGTGGGAGCCATTGTGCTGCACTGAAGTCCATGCAGAGTCTTGTGGGCAGAAAGGGGTTGGGAGGGAGAAAGCAGAACTTGACTAGGCTGAAATACCTGAAATGAGTATGAACATCAGAGGCATCTCTTATCTGAATTAAGTTTTTTTTAATCATCAGATCTCTTTGAGATTAAGAACAGCATAATTGGAATTCTTAAGATATCAGTATTAAAATTTGAAGTTTTATTGAAATTTACATTACTGTGTATTTGCAGGAATTATCTTTGGTGAAATCTGTTTGACAATTTAGTCAACATTGCTAAAAGGTCCACTTGTGAATTTCTGTGATATAATACCACAAGTTATAAATATTTATCTTTTTAATTCTAATTTGTTATATATTATATAACAGAAGAATGCATTATAATTCATATTATACATATAGAGCACAGTTTTTTATATCTCTGGTTGTACATAAAATAGTCACATCATTCATGTCTTCATACATGTACTTAGGGTAGGTAATGATGTTCATCTCATTCTACTGACTTTCCTACTCCTATGCCCCCTCCATTCCCCTCCCTCCCTTTGCTCTATTTAGAGTTTGTCTAATCCTCCCATGCTCCCCAACAACCCCATTATGAATCAGCGTCCTTATATCAAGTAAAACATTTGGTTTTTTGGGACTAACTTCACTTAGCATTATATTCTCCAACTCCATCCATTTACCTGCAAATGCCAAGATATTATCATTTTAAGAAGCATAATCTTTTCCATATCAAGTACCCAAGTACCTTTTTCTTAGAAAATCAAATGTTTGTATAACAGACACATTTGTGGAAGAAAAAGTCTATATAATAATGAAAAATAATATAAAATCAATCTTTTGAGGTGTTGGGGATTAAACTCAGGGTTTTGTGTATGCTAGAAAAGTGCTTTACCACTGAGCTACAGTCCCAACCCTAAAATAAATATTTTTGATTAAAATTGACTAATATGGCATCAGCAACTCATTCTGTGGTCAATACTAAAATACACAAGACATTTGAACATCTAATATACCTATTCCTGGTAATAACCACAGTGACACCAATGTCAGCTGACAAATTCTGACATATTTCTGTTACATTACCTATTTTTTAATGAAGGAAATTAGAAGAAATGAAAATACATTCCAAAATATTTATGGAAGAAAAAACTTTTGACTTCTCTCACTTTCTCCCCCAATTCACCTTACATCATAAAGGTATAAAAGCTTACTTCAATGGTATAAAGCCGACTTGAAGATGCCTTAAGTCTTCTCTATAACATCAAATCACATGACCACCTCTGTATAATGTGAACTTGATAAAATGATGAGTTTCTCTTTCTATAGAAAAATTCCAAGTTACTGAAGACACAAAACAGTTGTGTACAGAGTTTATTTTTATTCTCTTTAATGGCTGCTACATGAACAAGATTTAAAAATCAAAACAAAAGGAACCCCCTCAGAAGTCCCCATAGGACCCTGCCCCTGCTGTGGAGACCTAGTACCTGGCTTATCTTCCATACCATGTAGCAAGGGACAAATCTGACAGCCACATTGCTGTTTATAGGTCTAAAATGCAGCAGATAAAAACAGAAATCCAAGAACTCCAGAGTCAGGGAAAAGAACTTTGGCTCAAAGCCTGTGAAAAGCAAGGTCACAAAATATCCGAAAACAAGCAAGAACCAGAACAAACTGTGAACTGGCAGGACTAAAGTCCATTTTATATTCAATGGCATTAGAATAAAAGATTTAAAAGGTCATCACCCTCTCTGTTGGCTAAAGGAGGCTATGAGCATTCTTATAGCCACTTGAATTCCATAGTATGCTTTTTCCCCTTTAATTGTATTTTCACAGGGCAATTTGTATTTCAACATATTCATGAAAAATTACATAAATGAGGTGGCATTTAGTTTCTGTAATTATCTAGTCTACCACAAGAAGGATTTAACAGTGTAAAAGAAAATAGGTAGAGATCCAACATGGCGGCCGGCAGGGAAGCAGCACTTTCAGTATCTCCACATTAACTGGATCAGAAACACCCATTAAAACAGCTACATTCTACCTACTGAGGAACTTCTAGCAAAATTCCGCTGAAAGGAGACCTGCCAGGAAGTAGTAAGTTATATTAGAGGTGACAGTTGGCCCCAGACAAGTGAATCTTGGCCGGCCACAGGGGCTCAGAGGTCCAATCCCGCAGCCACCGCCCAACCGGCTCTGCAAGTGGCCCCCGGTAGCCCGGGGCAGCGAGAAGGGTTCCCGCCTGGCCCAGCAGACGGCCCCGCCATCCTGGCTCTCCTGGCGGCCCCGCTCACTCTGTGATCGGCCACCCCGCCCACCCGGCTCTTAGCCACGGGCCGCTACCTACCGGGTTGTACAAGCGGCCCCCAGCGGCCAGCGTGGTGAGAAGGGTCCCCGCCTGGCCTGACAAACGGCCTGCGCCCTCCTGGCTCTGCTAACGGCCCCGCTCTGTTGGCGGCCCCGCCCCCGGCCAGCGCAGGCTCGGCTCTGCAGGCGGCCCCCGGCGGCCTGCGCAGCGAGAAGGGTCCCCGCCTGGCCCTGCAGACGGCCCTGCCATCCTGGCTCTCCTGGCGGCCCCGCTCGCTCTGTGATCGGCCACCCCGCCCTCCCGGCTCTTAGCCACGAGGCCACTGCCTACCGGGTTTTACAAGCGGCCCCCGGCGGCCGGTGCGGCGAGAAGGGTCCCCGCCTGGCCTGGCAAATGGCCTGCGCCCTCCTGGCTCTGCTAACGCCCCGCCCGCATGGCTAACGGCCCCTTGCCCGCCTGGCTCTGCAAACGGCCCAGCCCACCCAGCAAACAGGCCCCCCCCCCGCCCTCTGGGCTCTGCTGGCGCCCCGCCTGCGGCCAGCGCCCCAGGCTCTGCAGGCGGCCCCCAGCGGCCCTGCGCAGCGAGAAGGGTCCCCACCTGGCAGACGGACTGTGCCCTCCCAGCTCTGCTAACGGCCCCGCCCCCACTGCGAATGGCCCCACCCACCCGGCAAAAGGCTCCCTCCCCTGAGACAACGTGAAGGAAATCTAACCAAGCCTTTATGAAATAGCAAACTGGGAACTAAAACCAGAGATTGGGTCAGACCAGAGACAAGCCAGTTCCACCCCTCCCTTCAGACACTCCAGCAAGGAGGCAGGGGCCCGCCATTGCAGAGAGGGGAAGTCACCAAAGTTCGGCCAAAGAGATTCCTTCCCAGCGGAATCTACTTTAGCAGGTGTGGGACTCCCACCTGCATCAGATACAAACAACCGGGAAACTTCAAAATCTCTCCGTGGGTGTGACTGTAAGGGCCAAAGGACTCTCGACCCCCAACTCCCAATACTGCCAGTGATGTGGGCGTGACTGTAGGGGCGGAGGGAAGCAGAGAAGACTCCCCACCCCCAACTCCCCCAACCGCCAACTGAGAGGGCGTGACAGTAGGGGCGGAGGGAAACAGAGGACACTCCAGACCCCCAACTCCTCCTACTGCCAGCAGAGTGGTCGTGATTGTAGGGGCTGAGGGAAGCAGATGGGATCCTCGACCCCCAACTCCCATTACCACCAGTGGCGACACCAATGGTCTTAGCCGCCAGACTCCGAAGGTGTGCCCACCAAAGGGGTCCAGAAAAATTAAACTATTGACTCCCAGAACACAGCTCCACAGCACTGGGGCTTAGATGAATGACAGAGAGAGTGCTCAGTCATTAGGGAAATAGAGCACCCAGAGGGGCTGAAAGTGTAACCAAATCCTTGGAGAACCTCCTCCGGTGCACAGGACCTGGCTGGCTGGCAGGAGGAAGGGGAGGAGGAGCTGTAGAAGTGAAATGGCTCTGGACCAACAGGATTGAGAGACTCCCAGGAGCCGCCTTACAGGGATTGCTGTTGACACATTGAGGGCAAATCTCAGCCCGGAGGGCACAGCTTTGCTTATGGGAAGAGAAGAAAATGGATCTCTAAGACCTAATTTTATTTCTTATTTTATTTTATTTTTTCTCTCCCTTTTTCCCTCTTTCTCTCCCCTTCCAAGTTTTATTGTTCTTTCCATTCTCCTCTATGCTATCTAACTCCCCATCCTTCTTTCTTTTCAAGAGCACCTTCCTTCCCCTTCCCCCCAACTTTCATCCCAAGCATTACATCCTCCATTTCGTGTAACTGTCTAAATGCAAACAGGTAAATGTTTCAAGGCCGTCTATAGTGCTCCTAAATACCTAGCTACTACCAACACCCTGATCCAATTGACGGTTAGCATCCCCCTTCAGTAGAGCAATCTTCTAAAGTAGCCAAGACATACTAACCCTTATACCTTCATAGCACCTAACATAAAGTCCTAAGAACAAAAAACAAATCACTATATGCATACAAAATCCGGAAGCCCTTTATAAATTGAATGAATCAGCTCTAAAGTACAATAAAGCCCAACATCTATAGGTATAATCTCCCACCACAAAGGAGAAACAACAGATATAAACAAAGCCAAAACAAATGTATAGGAGAAAGCAGTTACAAAGCAGTCAAACAGAGCTGGAAAGTAACGTGAACAACATGAAAAAAACAGGGAAAAAAGGAGTACAGATAATGCAGGACAACTTAAATCTACAGGAGGACCTAGAAGCATCAGAAACATGGACAGGGAAAGAAATCAAGGCATACCTAACTCAGATGGAATGGAATTTTAGAGAAGACATGAGACAGCAAATCCAAGAATTGAAAGTATATTTTGAAAACCAACTAAACAAACAAATTCAAACTGCAAAGAACGAGCTTTACCAGGAGATAGAGATCTTAAAAAAAAACCAAACAGTGATTTTAGAAACGCAAGAAACCATAAACCAGATTAAAAATGCTAACGAGAATATTACAAATAGACTAGATCAAGTAGAAGTCAGAACATCAGATAATGAAGACAAAGTTTATAAACTTGAAAAGAATATAGTCAATACTGAAAAGATGCTTAAATCTCACGAGCAATCTATCCAAGAGATATGGGATCTCATCAAAAAACCAAATTTGAGAGTCATTGGGATAGAAGAAGGCACAGAGATTC